AGAAATACTCCTCTCCACACAGTCCCAAAGCTGCATCTTTCTCAGCAATTCCAAGGCATCGGAAACCACCTGTTCAGAGGAAATAGATAATTTTTAGTCATACATTTAAAACAATAAATCTAAGAACTTTAGAGCTCCACATACCAAGTATCTTCGATAACACATCTACTCTAAGAGAGAAAACAGAAGACAATTACTATGTTAGATCACTTTGGGCTATTAAAGGATCCTTGATAGCAAACAGGAAATACTAGGGGTAACTCACCTTGCCCAAGGGGAATCCAGTGGTTTAGAGTGGGAAAGGAGCAAGACAGGGTTGCATTGGGGCAATTCTAACCAAACCCTGTAATGGATCAGATACAACGATATTGCTGAGAGGGCACTTCCTCCCTTCCCCTAGGTGGAAGGCATGGTGACCAAGTGGTACACTGAGCAGCAAAGATATTTTCAGCCAATGGAGAATTCTCCTATACAAGGAGAAATGTGCGCTGTATGCCCAGCTATGTTATGGGGTTGCACTGCTGTAGCTGTGATTGCTAAAGCAGTGCTTTTCAATCGAAGGGGCAAGGACCCTGGGGATTCTGTGTACAGTTTTTAAAGAATCTGTAAAAGACAAGTAGGAAAAATAAAACTGTAAACAGCAGGCTTAAAATCATTATGCAGAAGTCCACACATTTGAAAGGTGGAAAACCACTGCCCTAAGACACAGGACAGCAGTGGTTGTCTAAAGTTACCATAAAACACTGCCGTAAGCCATAAAGAGAATATCTAGAGGTGCCATTTGAAATCACTTTATTTGACACAAAGCAATTTTGTGCTGTTAAATGGTACACTATGACCTCAGTGGATCAAAGAATGCACACCCAAAGAGCAGGTTTTAAAAACAGCCTGTAATTTCCTATGGCAATTTTCCAAGAGCACTGCCAGCTGCCAACGCCTCCAGCTGTAGCAACCGATGCCCAAAACCTTTGTGCATGGAGCCTTCGGGATCTAAATCAACACACAACATTTGAGGCACCCTAAAGAATAACCATTTGCAGGTTGTGCCTCAAAGCTTAATCACTAATGCACTCGCTTCTGCCTTTTTACCACCATAATCAAAACTCAATAATCATCTTTCTTATAGCTCTTTTTAAATATCCTTTACTATCTAAATATCGTGTCATACATTTGCTTTATTCCTCAGCTGAAAACTTGCTATATCTGGGCTGGGACTGCTTTAAGACTGGGACTACAGGCATTTGACATGAAACCCAACAAGCCATTTCTCTCCATTGCTAACCCCACGGTGGAGCTGCCTATGCAGACTGCTGATGCAGGCAGAAAAGCACGCTGCACACACTGCGAACTGCAAGACAGAGCAGTATACATGCACCTGGCCCACAGGGAGGTCAGAATATTGGCTAAAATTCACTTCTGATACTACACTATTCAGCAGAGAACACCAGACACTGTATTACTTATACAGGCTTTATATATTCACCCATGTATCTCTTTGTCTGTTTATGTTTCATTCACTTAAGCAATGATTCTCCACTAACACCGATTTGCAGGACTACACAATTTATGATGTAAGAACATTCTTTCTGAGATCAGGTATCATTTCCTCAAAAGACCTCACTGCAGAACAGTAAGATTTTTCCACTCAAAAAAGTCAAGAGAAACTTAACACTTTGCTCTCCGTGAAAGTCTCTGGTTTTTTTTTTATGAGACACAAAAGCCAAATAAATAAGATCACATTTTTTCAACTAAGAACATTCTAGAGGGAATACAGAAAAAAAATCCCAAACAAACTTTCATTTTGAAATCAGTTTTAGCCATGGTGTAATTGCTCACAAGACACTTCTTAACTAGTTATATTTCTCATATCCATGTCTCCCCCGTCACTGAGATGCTATTGAGTACACAAATACAGCTGGTTCACACAGTAGAGATCTGCGGTAGTGCCTAAAAATACTTTTTATGCTGTTTGCTCCTTTAAAATATTTTAATGTAGATTTAAGGATTTTTATAAATATCAAGTTTTAAAAATACATGCAGTGACTACTCTCACCAGTTTGCTGTCTAGTCTTTTACTGCTTAGATCTGCAGCAGGTGTTCCCCCTGCATGTTCCTCAAACAGGTGACTTCAAAGCAGCACACAGGCCACTGTATGCTGTAGACACAGTGGCAAAAGCAGCATCCTACCCTTTGCCCAGAAGAGGTCAAGCAGCAAATGATAGCCACACACCAGAAAGCCAACACTGCAGTATGCTGTGACTGCTTTCTACTTCTCTTACTGTCCAACAATCTCTCTCACCTCTTCCTGGCTCCTGCTCTGGGCACTGCTGCACCTGGTTTAACAGTGAGCAGCCCAGCTGTACTCAAGCTGGTTTGGTGAAACTGAGCGCATCACATTCACCAGCCCTCACCATTCAGGCCAGGCAATTGCAAGGCAGTTAGAGTAAGCCATGCATATATTTTTCTGGTGTTAATACTTGTAAGTGCCTGATGCAAAGGTGACATTCAAGCAGACTAAGTATGGGAATCCATCTCTTTTTAAACCCTCTATATCAAATGTGGATCATCACAAATCAACATGGCTAATTACAGATCAGGGCTATCTGCCTAGGTTGCCGTTCCTCCTCCCCCTGCATTCCACAGGAAGTTCTACAGAAAGTCCTCTTCAGCTGGCACAGCACTCTGAGAAGAGTGCCTTTGGTTGACTCCACTGGGTGGGTTCACACCAAGGACAACAGTCTGGCCACTCTCCCATGATTGTCTAAGAAGAAAACAATGCACTGGAGCCCATTTTCTCTGATTAGGTACCTCCAGCTGCTATTGCTCCTTGATGACTAGCCTTTAATCACATAACCTAACAACTCTGATCCCAGATAAAAGCAAGAAAAAGCAGCAGGGGATGAAGTTATGATGTAGAGGAAAGTGAAAGGATGAAGAAAGAGAGGCTCCTAGTTGCATGCTTCTTTATTGTTATTTGCTCTGTCTCCCTTCACACTGTACAGTGAACATGAGTTACTGCAGATGCAACAACCTTTGCGTGCAGCTCAAGAAACTACATACAACATCTGGAACTCATATGTCAGATCACATCCCCTTCTCCCCTACATTACCCAAAACAGACATTCAGTTTCAGCCTCCCTTTTGACAAGCTAATTGCACTTGTATGAGATAATGAGCTATCATGAACAGCCAGGCTGAAAGTAGCAGTCCTCTCTAACAAAAAATAAAAAGAACACTTGCTCTTCCATGACTGACAGGAATGACATTGACAGGATATTGATTCCTGATCCAGGTGATAGGAAACAGTTTACTTTCACGCCTTTACAAGCCACCATTAAAACTGGGAGAGGAAGAATCAAGGTAAGAGTCCTTTCCCTTCAAATACATCGCTACTGCCTTTCTGTGGTCTGACACATCACCACTATCTGTCTGTCTCTTGGCAATATTTTGCCCTCACTTACTTTCCTCCAGCAGTTCAATAGACCTACTCTTGGTCTGGGTCCCCCCACCACAGAACCCACTGGATAAATTCCTTACAGCCTTCCCTCTTCCAAGGCACAGACCAGAGCAACACCGAATGACTACCACATTGGTGGCTCTCCTTTCCGAGGGCTGAGGCCTTGTAGACCTTACACAAAACCACCAACACAACCAAACCCAATCTCTTACTAAAGAAGAGACAAAGCCTTACACCTTTCCAATGCTTGGTCTCAAATTCTGTGCCCTAAGCTGTCTTGTTTCTAACTGCCCACCACTAAGGCTGTCTAAAAGTGTCTTGCCTCTTCTTTTGTAAGACTGGTGGTACCTCCTCTACAGCATTTGCCACACAAGGCAACACCAAGTGCTCTCTTCCTCTAGTCATTTCCAGTTTCCTGTCATACCAGCCAACCAACCACAGTTCCTGCCCAGAGGAAGTAAGGACAATATAAGTGAGCCCATGTCCTCTTTTAACCCTTTCCTAGGACCAATTCCCTCCCACTTTTTTCTCTATCGGTGGCAAGGCAGAAATAGTACAAAATCACTATAATCAGCTGAAAGCAGCCCTTGCCCCTCAGAGAGGCCACCCTCTTTTTACAAGTAAGAAGTCTAGAGGAGGAAAAACATAAAACCTAATGAAGCTCCCCTTGGTTATTTGACTGGGAGCCCTCAGGTAGAGGTCACAACCATTGAAATGCTCTATTTGATCACAGAGTTCCTTTCAAGGTTTTTTGGTTGACCAATAATTAGACAAGTAGAAAGAAAGCGAGTACCTGGATATAATTTGCTCAGTATGTCTATTAATTTTGCTCTTTTGTCTCTCACTGCCTAAAGAAGCAATGAAGGCAAAGTCTGCAGCGCAGAACTCCAGTCAAATCTGCTCTTAAGTGTCCGAAAAATTCCCCCAGGCCCCATAAACGATGGAAACTGTTAATCGTTCCTCAGTATTTGACAATATTGTTGCTAAAGGAGAATAAGATTGATGGAGGAAGGCCTTACAAGAACCTCCATCAGATCAAATCAAATAACTACCCTAGTGCAGCAGAAGGAAAATGACAACAATTTTTCTCCATTAGAAATAATATATTTGATTTTGACCCCACTCGCACCAGTATAAACAAGAAGAAAGTCAGGTCATAAGTGAAAATTAAAACCAAAGCATCTAAAACCCCACGAAAATAAGGTAAGAGGGACCACCCAGTGCTCCCAGTGGATATAATGTCCTGAATAGCCCACTATCCACAACAACTGCTATCAACATACAGCTGAGTGTTTTTCAGCCCCTTTGATTTCAGCAATATGAGCAGGTCATCACTCACACACATACACGCCTGAGTCCTTAGCTATCTCTTTGGCCTGTTCCTGAAGATCTAATTGTCTTAATTCTTCAATTATCAGAGAACATAACTTACCTGGAGTATTCAGACATTTTATCCTCTCACCACAAATGCTTGGAGATTCAGTGCATTCATCTCTGTCCTGTAAATCACAAGAATCATATTGAAACACTTTAACACAACAACTTAAATTTGAAACAGGCACTTCTTCAGGCTCTGTAACACCCATCTGCCAGTAAAACGCATGTGTGTGGATGGAGAGAGGGCTGATCTCATAAGCATACAAGAGCAAGACAACCTGTTTTGGATTTGTCATCTGTTTTAACAAGGTACACAAAAAGACTGCATGGTGTCCACAGAAAGCTAGGAGTATGCAGGCGACGAGCTAAATGGATCTATAAAACAGTGCCACATCCCCAAGAGCAGTGATTCACTCTATTGGTCTTAAGGAAGCTGTAACAATCGAGACAGTATTAGGAAAGGCTATTAAAGACATTTGGTCTGGGAAGAAGGTGCTAACTGAAAAACACACAAGAAAGGTAAATGATAAAGTAGTATTTCCTGTAAACAAGCCCTCCTCTCACCCTACAGCAAGCAGAAGGGAAAGAATAACAGTCTACATTTGCATTTAAATGCTAGCGTTGAAGAAAACTGAGACCAGCAGAGAGGGAACAGGACAGACTAAACAAAAAACTGTTTTAAATATCAAGGTCCCCATATATCCTAGGACTTCTAAACAAGAGAAAGTGACCCCAAAAAATTTATTTTGCTTACATGCTGGTTTTGTATTGTATAATAAAATGTATTTTATAACAAAATGTATTTTATAACAAAATGTATTCAATAATAAAAGCATCTGTGTTCTATTTTTTCTATGTATGTTATGTTTAAACTGGAACTAGATTTTACATTTGTTTTAACTGACGACTTTTGTTTCCAAACTTATAAATAAATATCTGACCTCTAGTCTTCCTTAGTAAAGCCTTCCTCTGCTTTTCAGAGATGTCTAGAAGTTCCTATAGAGTGGACTGGAATTAAATAAACAAATTTAGCATGCATAAATATACATGTTTTAGGATGTCTTTTCCTACCATAATGAAAAGAATCGAAGTCCTGCCAGCTGTGAAGTTTGGGAAAGCATCACACCCAGCAGGCACAAACTAGTGTTCCATTTAGAGCAGTAAATGCTGAGGAGAAAATCCATAAAAAAACCTCTGGCAGTCTTTGAAGTGCCATAGACCCATTCAGTAAAGTGCATGCTTCAAACTGCATCTTTCTAGCTCTCCAAGTAGTTATTTCTACAATGTTATCCCAGTATGTCCAACACAATACTTCATAAGCAATAACTGAAAGATAAAGAATTGTATTTCACCTGGCAAATCCGATCAGAGTTTGCAGAACACTCGGCCATTTGGAAAAAACCAGCAGGACACAATGTGCATTTTTCACATTGTGAAGGTGTCTTTTGGAAATTGCAAAATTCATCACTTTCGCAAAGGCCACAGTCCAGCAAAGACTCCCCAACATTAATCACTTTTGCATCCACTTCTACTTTATGCACAGAATATGACTTCTGGAGATGATTTCTGACCTGGTTCTGAAGTCCTTGAAGATGACTTTCAAAATAATTTTGAATATCTTCTTGTAAACTCTGAAACGACATTTGTTTCACTGTATCAAAAAGCATGCCATACTGGACTTTGATCAGATCCATTTGCTCATACATTTTTCTTTGCTGTTCAAGAATCTCCCGTTGCTGGCTAACCAATATGTGCTGCTGTTCAGCAAGTTTTTGCTGCAAATCGACAATGATCTGCTGTTGGCTTTTTAGCATTTCTGTAAATTTCTCATGCCCTTTTGCAAGGTGCAGCTGTAGTATTAGGGCATCTTCAGATGGAACTTCATTTTCTCCTGAAATACAAATGATCAATTATTGTACAAGAAAAGTTATTTTCCAGCTTGCTGTATTATCTCTTCAAAGGCACTCAAATTTTAATCAGTTAATGAAAAGTCTCACTAAATTCAAGTCATGATTGTAAGGCCAGTCCCTTAACTATCTTTGTAGCCCCTTCATGGAACCACAAGGTCTTCCATTTCATAAGCAACAACATTTATAGTTGTAGACACTAAAAAAGTCATAATCAAGCCCCATGCTTCAGGGCATAAATTAATCATCACTGGGGTTCAATAAAAGATTAATCATTCCTATGTACACGTTCAAATACAGTGAACAGTAAATGGTCAATTTTCACTGTAGAGGCAATAAAATGAGGTGATAAAACTTGGTGAGAACAGTAAAGCTATTAAGGGTAGTAAAAGTAAGGGTCAATTGCAAAGAGCTTCAAAAGGAGTCTATGATACTGAGTAGCAGCAATAAAATGGCAAAAAGAAATTCAGAGGAGATAAAGGTGAAATGAGGCGCCTACTGAAAAAAAAAAAAGATATCTAAGTTTTTTATATCAAATGTTGTACATTATTATTACCACTTGGAAACAATCTTGAGGCAATATATCTAGGTATAGATGTTGGGCCACAGAGCCAGGTAATCGTCACTTCAGTGCCCAATAGAGATCAAAAATGCAAATAAAATGCTAGGACTAATAAGAAAAGGAATACGTAACAGAAGAGAACCTATCATTATGACACTGTATTAATCAATAGAGCATCTTTAATACAGCATGCAGTTCTGGTTCCCCATCTCAAAAAAGGGCACAGAAGAACTCGAAAAGTTCACAGGACAGCAAGGAAAATCTCATGTATGATACTGCTACAATATGAAAAACTAGGTAGGACTTTTCAGGCTTGGAAAAACAAAAGAAACCAAACAACTGTGCTATATTACAGGTGTCTTAAAGCAAGTGGATACGGAAAGACTCTTCACTTTTTCTTCCAATACAAGAATTAGAGGACATTAAATGAAGGCAGCAGTTTCAATACATGTTAAAAGTTCAACCAGGTCCAGAAAGTTGCTGGCCCAATATATAAAATAAAATCAATCTGGTGCTAAAAGATACAGACACCAGGTTCAGGAAATCTCAGCAACAAACTGGTGGAGCTGGGAAAATGCTATGCTTTCCACAGTATCTGCTGCAGGACGCCGCCTGAGAGAGAATCCTGAATCCAATATGGTCCCTCATCTGTTCTTATGCAGCACTGAATTTTCTTCTTTTATGTGCAGAACATCAAGGATGAGACAACGAAAAAGACCACAGTTAGTTACTGTTCACAGTTCCTAAAATATTTTGCTGTTCAGTTACTTTTATTCATGGCATAAGGCACATATTAATTTTTATTTTTCAGTATTCACTTAAATATTAGGGTAGTTTGCAGGGTACTGGATTTGAGAAAGTAAAGAGCAGGATCCAGGAAAGGCCATATTCCCCACCCATGTCAGAAATTCCAGATTTTGAAGTAGCTGGTAAATTATATCCTTCAGTCTCCTTCCATCTAACACGAACAAGTAGTTCTGTGAAGAGCAGAACCAATCTCATCCAATTCTCCATGGATTTGTGTCTTCCATTTGACTGGCTAAATAAGCAGCACTACCTTCTCTACCTTTCTTCTTCAGAATACAGAGCAATAACCAAGCTGCTTTCTTCCTCCCAGCTGAAAGGATTAACAGCTAGGGGCAAATGCTCTCCTAATTACCCCGTACAAATTTTATACATCCTTGCCTACTTTTAATACCTCTGCCCATTGTCAAATTTGCCTGAAATCAGACCACAGCTTTGACAGATACTGGGCACAAAGAAAGTTACAAGAACACTGTGATTGCCTGTGAAGATTTTTCATCAACCTACGTGGGCTCCATTTGTGCTTGAGGCTGGAAAGACTTCAACAAATTCCCGTTCACAAAACTTTTGCTCTCAGAAGTCTGGCCTACAACTGAGAATACCGACAGAAAAGCACAGGTCTTTGCCAAGTATTTTGGCTGTACAAGTGACAACATAGTGCAAAAGGACTACACCATGTATCAGCGAGAGTTATGTCTTCAAAGCAGACAGAAAGTCTGTGAGGAAAAGGGCGGCCCTGACCTGGCCAAATAAAGCATATGCACCTAGGAAAATAGCTGATGAAAGCTGGCATACTGAGGCTTTGGCTACCGTGTTGACTACTGTTACTTAATTGTTTCTTGGAAGATCTCCCTGTAATTTTTCTGAGAGGGACTTCATCTTCTTGTCCAGCATTAATACAATTTCTTACATGCTGGGATCACGTGTGAGAACAGGGTTCCATGCTAGTACTGCAATACAGCTACCAATAAAAATAATATAAACACAGCAAATAATGAGCACAATAATATAATACCAGAAAATCTAAAATCTAAATGCATTCCCCTAGGAAACTGCTACATAGCACTAACAGCCATCAAATGAGCTGCATACATGTCTGCCTTCATCAATAACTTCAGATAGAGATTATCTTAAGATTGAAATGTTAACAAATCCAGGTTTGCAAAGAACAAATAGCAATGAAATCAACAACATTAAACTTCCCCTTTCTAGGCGTTTTGACCTTCTTTCTCAATGAAAAGTGAAAAAATAAATAACCTTCACAGAGGTGAGGAAAAGTCCAACTGCACCACTTAAAAGTCAGCCCAGGGAACTGCCTCCGGGGAACTGCAAGAGGGAGCGAATCCTATAGTCAAGGATATATTACCAAATCACTTCTTTTCCAAAACCACCTTTCCTTCAGTTCCCAGTTGCTGAGATTCAAGGACCAATAAAAATATTTTTAATTATTCCAGCCATCACAAATTTATAGACTGGAAGACTACAGACTCTTTAAGACAGGGTTACTGGGCTCTTCTCCTCCTGAGAATCTGGGCTTTTCTCACACACAAGCAAAACTACTAGAGCAAAGAAATGTTAACTAAAGCCCTGATTCAATAAGAGACAAAGTAGAACTTATTTTTAAGCATATTTAAGGAGCATTGTCTCCAACCAGTCAGTGACTTGCTGGCAGTAACAATGGCTACAATTTTAAGTACTGCAGCTTACTCACATGATGGACCAGCTTTCTAATATCTCTGCCCTAAACAGCTTTACAGAACTTTGTAATAATGTCTACATTCCAGTCAATCACTTTAGCTTTGCTTCTTTTGGTTGTCTAAAGCTCAGCTAGTGAGAATATGACACCTAAAAAATCCTTTGTGGCTGGTTTTTTCCTCTCATTTTTCTCCACGTTGCAGTACTATGACTAAACTGATACTTGCCCACACAAGAGGCTCTTCACTGCTCAGTACAGTTGGGGCTACCGGCAGTTCGCAATGCCAGAGCAAGAGAGCGTAACAAAGCTCTTCCACAAAAAGAGAAGACTCTACTGAAAATAAACTACATTCAATTAAGCAGCAGGGATATCTCGTTTGCCAAAAGAACTCTGAAGAAGAAGACTAAAATAGCTCAGATGTAGAGTGCCCTAAATGTGGCCTTGTTTCTCTCTAGTAACTTTATAAAGGTAAGGCATGGTGAAGTTGTCAGATGGGGATGTCTCTATTGCAGATGTCTAAAATTATGAAAAGAATTCCACTGCAAGGGATGTTTACACATTAGTAGATGCCAGCAATCCCACTTAAGTACCTTTCCACATTGCCCAGACAAGCACCAAACAGGTACACCCACTAGCAACACTCAGATGTCCCCACGACCACAGATCCAATATTACTTTCCTTGCATATGCACATCACACACAGCCATGGCAAGGTCTGTTTTGCAGACATCTGCTCCATCCTTCCAGGATCAATCCATGGTGCATACAGAATATCATACAAGCCTCTGCTACATTTCCCTAGCACACCTGGAAAGGACGCATCATCCCAAGGGCATGCTGCATGGACAAGGTAGCCCTCTGGCACAATCTACCACTGCACAAGGGGCCGAGGCTAAAAGCAGGCAGTCATCCTACAGTGAGGAAGGGAAGGTGAGATCTTTACCGGGTCTGGAGAGCACAGGGCCATCTGACGGTGCCAGTCACTCCTGTTAACCACAGCAGATGAGAGCAGCAGGCTGTAGGCACTGCTCAGTGCGTAGACAGCAACAGCATGAGAACCTACAACCTTGTTCACCAGGTTTGGCAGGTATGAGATGGCAGCTGCACATTATTTTGCTCAAATGCAGGTGGTTGCAGCAGCAGAGAAGTTTGCCCAAAAGAAAACAACAGAAAGACGGGTCTGATAGGAAAAACAAAGGATTTAATGGCAAATAATGAGAGAAACACAGAGGAATACAAAATGATACAACAAAAACAGGTCCTGTGCATTCCTTCTTTTGGGATGCCAGTCCTTCATCTGAAGTAAGGTTTACTCATGGTGCTGCTGAGAAACAGCAGCGACAATCTTGCAGAGGAATGGGCTCACCCAATTTGAAAAGGGAGTACAAGTCTGCACTCCAGCATCTTCACCATTCTGGCCAACAGAATTAGTGGTTCAGCTGCAGTTGGCAGGAGCTTTTCAGACCATAGCTGTGGTGCTGGTGATATTGACTGAAAAGATGATGAAGACATTTGTGTGCTCCTCACAGGAGTGCTGTTCTGGTTCTGGCAGGCAGCTGGTGGAGAGTAATAGCCACCTGCCTCAGGCAGATGAGCCTGCAAACACAGACACGGTGCCGGTAATCATCTAGAGCCCCTGATACTGGCCTGTGTCTTGGAAGGCTGGTATCAGGCATGGTCTTCAGCAAGCATTCAGGTAGACTGCACCTCACATGA